TTTCATATGTTCATTAGCGAATGTCATGGTGCCATTTCTGAACTTAAGTCTTTGGTTGGGACCCGGAAAGAAATGAGTATCCAACAAAAATCAAAGGAAATAATAATAATAATAATAATAATAATAATAAAGACCGAAGGGACGACCGATATTAAAGTCCAAACATCTAAATTTGCTAATATCACTTTTGACGTGTGACGAAGTAAAGACGAAGCTATTATGGAGTCTTCAGTGAATATACCAAAAGATAAAATAAATCGATACGTTTGGTAAGAAAGGTGATCCACTGCGTAAATTATTTAGGTTTGATCAGGTAAAGAATTGAATGCTTTGCTACATGTACAAATTCGTCGACTAATAAAGAAAAAAAAATTATTAAATTCATTTTTAATTCATTAGTTTTATTTGTCAACATAATCCCCTTCCTTATCCATGCTTTTAATTCTTTAATGAATACCAATCATAGAGATCGAATATTACGATGTCATGATGACTTTTATGACCTTAGGTCTCTAGTTGGAACCCAGAAGGAAGTGAAATCAAAGGAAATAATGATAATAATAATAATAATAATAACAATGGGGTATTACATTACACAAACAAAACAATCAAAGACAATCTCCCAGATATCGTGATCGAAGACCACAAAAACAGAATGTGTTTTCTTATTGACATGGCAGTCCCTGCAGATTGTCATGTATCTTTGAAGATCTTCAAAAAAACTGTCAAAATACAAGGATCTTGAAGTGGAAATCTAAAAAAGTGTGGCGTGTGAGGACATCAATAATTCCAGTAGTGGTTGGAGACCGCGGATTCATTGGAAAAGGTTCCGATATATTCCTTAAAGGGATTCCTGGTAGTCCATGCTTTAATGAAATACAAAGAATTGTACTCATAAGTACAACCCACAGATTACGAGGAACTTTTTTAATACACAAAGTGTGAAATCTTAGGCTTTTGGCTATTTTTTTTTTTTGACAAAAATGTTCAGTGGAAAATATCATGAAGTAATTTCCGACCTCATCAAATTCAGTAGTTTTATATATAGGACAAAAACTGATTATCAACGATGTTTGCACTCCTGCTATGACTGAAGTTAAGCAATGTTGAGGCTGGTCAGTACCTAGATGGTTAACTACTTGTGAATACCAGGTGCTGTAAGCTTGGATACGCGGATGGTGTAATGGATAATGGCTAAGAATTGTTAATCGGAGAGCCGAGTTCCAATTCCCGTTGGGTTCGTTGTATTCACTTACAGGCAAATACCCTTGAGAAAGGTATGAACCCGCCTCTTCTCCCCTCAGCTATGGGTTAATTAGTAAGACTTGTATCCCTAAAACCATTATTATCTCCAAAAAATAAAATTTCGTACAAAATATTTAGATTTCGGCATTAAATAACCCATAGAGGTTGATATACCGTTAAACAATGACAACCAACCAACGATGCTTGCTTTCACAGAAAGTAAACAAAAAGTCATATTACTTCAATATGAAATAGCAGATAATAATAACTGATAGGCAGATGCTGTAATAGAAATAACAGATCATTAATAATTAATCGACAGACGTGGAAATGAAGATGGAACTACAGTCGAAACAAACGATATATAGCGATGCAATTCGAGAGACATAAAGGTAGTAGACGTTAGAAAGTGAAACAACTACGGGGAATACTTAAAGTAACTTCCATCATCAAGGTTTTAGCAGCTAGAGCGCGGATAAAACGCTACAATGAGGCCCAGACCGAGGACAAGTCTAAGTTGTTAACTTCCAATTGTCTAGAGAACAATTCATAATTTGCCGGTTTAGGTCGTGGCTTAAGGAGTCGGGGAGACAAGGTAATAAACACCTGATCATCTCGACTGAACGAATGTGAATTGAAGCATGAAAACACACAAAGATCTCGCCCCCTGTCACATACTTCACGTCCCTTCGAAAACCTCTCATCCTCCTCGTCCCCAACAGTCTAAGCCCCTACGCATCACTTTTCATCCACTTCCTAAACTTGATTCCCTCCGTTTTTCTTTGAATCAGATCGGACTGCGTTTCCATTAATAGCAACTCTCCTTTACTTTTTCAATGCCGCCATTACCGCCATCCTGCATTTTTGAGGATACCCCATTTTTCTCTCCCTCTCTTTCTTCCCTTCTCGCGTTCAGAAGAATGAAAATCATTTTTCTGCCGTTCAGCATTTCCATCTGTCAGTTGCACGATGTCCCGAGTTCACTATTAACAAACGACGTTGTTATGCTCTTGAAAGAAAAGCCTGTGTCTAAAATATGGCCGAAAATGGGAGGAGGGATTAAATGTTTACATTCAATAATTTATTAATAAAAAAGAAAGTAAGTTTATTACGGCTGGTTACATTCTAAGTTTAATGCGTATTTGCATTTTAAGGGATATAAGAAAATTATCTATCTATCTATCTATCTATGGCTGTTTATATCTATCTGTCTGTCTATGCCTGTTTATATCTATCTATCTATCTATCTATCTATCTATCTATCTATCTATCTGCCTGTCTTTATACTGCTATTTCAGTCTGTTCATTACCTATTTATCTATATTCAAAAAAGAAAAAAAAAACTATCAAAATACAAGGATCTTGAAATGGAAATCTCAAAAAATGTGGTACATGAGGACATCAATAAGTTTCCGATAGATTAATTGAAGGGATTCCTGGTAGCCCATGCCTCAAAGAAATACAAATAATTGTACTCAAAAGTAGGGCTCACACATTATGAATAGCTTTATCTATGTACAATGTGTGTGATGTTAGTTTTTTTTTTTTTACAAAAATGATCAATGGAAAATATCATGATGCCATTTCTAACTTTAGGTCTCTGGTTGGGACCCGGAAGGAAATGTGTACATAACAGAAATCAAAGGAAATAATAATAATAATAATAATGACAGCAATAATAGTAATAACAAGAACAACAACAACAACAACAACAACAATAATAATAATAATAACAATAATAATAATATTAGTATTATTGTTGTTGTTGTCATTATTATTATTGCTATTATTATATTATCATTATATAATTATTATTATAATGATAATAATAATAGCAATAATAATAATAATAATAATGACAACAACAACACCAACAATACTACTATTACTACTAATAATAATAACAGCAAATTATGTAAACATTATCATCCAGTATGAACATTTATTACGAAGTGTGTATTTATAAACAGCCCTATAATCAGCGAATGTAGGAAATTAATCGAGTTAGAATAGAATGGAAATGACTGGGTGGGAATGGCGAAATGAAAATCAATGTTAAAGGCACAAACCAGAAACAGACCTAGAGAATGAAACGTATAAAATCCTGAGACTTTGAGATTCCAGAAGTCCTGAGAATCGTAAAGAAGAAGAAAAAGACATGTCTGATAGTTCGATTTCGTTATTCCGGCAGAGCAAAGTGTAAGATTGATGCGTACATAGTACGTTGTCGAAGAATTAAAGAGGTTCGCTATTTATCGATCCACCCACGAGGATTGAATATGGCACAAGGCCGGTTTAATGTGGGTATCTCCGAGCCCGTAGGCTCGGCCAAAAATATAGCCTTTTTGAACCCGCCTAGACGGGTTCAGGCCCTGTCTACCTCCCCGAACGAAGAATTAAAGAGGTTCACAAACATAAAGGTGTCTGTCTTTATCGAAGCGCTATGGGCAGACCCCCCAAAAGCTTAGGAAGAAACAGGAAAGAGTTGAAATCATCCAAACGACAGTGTTGCTGAAAATGGAATACTAAGGTGGAGTATTTAGGAGAGTTTTTGTCACTTAATCTCCTGTAAGTCATCAATTATTACAGGTGTGGACACTCAATAATTAAAATAATACTAACTAATAGGTCTTTTGAACAGGAGTAGAGGTTTATCCGTTGTTTCATGTTTAGGATTGGGTTTTTGGTTACATTCTAAAGTTCTTTCATTCTATTTCACTTCCAGTATCCCCTTGCGTCTTAGTGGCTTTATCGCTTTGTTTGAGGTGACTTGATTAAAAAATATGTGACCATGTATATGAATAAGCTATCGATTTTGTTTTACAATAGAAAGAGTATTATTTGGGCCTTTGAAAAAAAAGAATGCACAATCGATAGATCAAACCTCTCATTTATGTTTTCTCTTCTTCCATAATGAATTTTTACGTTTTGCTTCCCTTTCCAATCCGTTTTGCACATTGTTCATCCAGCAAACATGTGAATGTTTATTTTGTTTCCATCCATTCCATCTTTCTATATACGCCTTTGTGCAAATTAATTGAAACAAAACGAATAATTCCATTATCATTTACTTGTTTTCTTATTTTTTCAATGAAACATGAGCCAGTGCACATGTTAGTACTTCGTATGTCCATTCCACGATGTCGTTCCTTACAGATTGACCACAGATTCTCGATTGGATTTAAATCGGGAGAGTTTCCAAGCCACAGTCTACAATACTTTGATTTGCTCACTGGTAAGGCTGGCCAATGGGTTCGTGCAGCGTTACAATTTTCGATCCCTTGGAGTAACGTCCATCGCAGACAATGGCCATAGGACAACTAATCGACAGCCAAGACAGTAGTGTCTGGGCGTGATGAAAATCTGAGGCAATCATGAATGACGCAATATTTTTCAATACCAAACAAATTTCATCATACACCCCGAAAATAGACTCATATTACTGCCTGCCACTGCAAATGATCTAATCTGAGGAAAAAATAGAAATCGATTACACCCTTTCACCCCAGTGGGTCTAAAACTGACTGTATGGTGAAAGAAAGGAAAGTAAAGTGACTGTTTCAATTAATTTGCATAAGGGTGTATATACATACGTATTTTTTCCTTTCACGTGGTTCGCTTTTCATTTTTTAGCATTCTTGCCTCCTACCTTTCCTGCTAAACGTCATCTTTTCTATTCTTCTCCTGTATTTTTATTTATTAATCCGACATTTTTTTTTATTATTTTAAACGACGTTGTTTTTAGTGGATAATCATATTTGACGATCTAAAACAGTATTTTATTTCGTCTACCGGCCTGATCACCCGAGATATTTTATTAGAGTCTTTCTCTAATAATTGGAAAAGTACTGGGTTAGCCGGCAAAATAATCGTCGGGAACGTACTGATCAAAACAACAAAGATAAAACTATATATACATAAAGCTTTTGGTTGTACAATGACAAAATCAGCGTTTTGATCTTTCGTTTTTTTTTCATTTACTATTAAACTCCTTTCTCCCAAATTTCAGAATACTTCAGCTATTTCTTTCTGACAAGTGCGTTCCGATTCTATCTTGCAATACAATAACACAAAGAGCTGGTACTAAATGCACATGAATTTTAGCGCGACAATCTCAAGAAGCGTCTCTTCTAGAAAGAAGCAAATCAACGGCAAGCGAAGCAGAAGTCAGCCAGTCATTTGTTATTAGTGTCAAGTTACTTATAAACAATTGCATTCTACAATATTCTCGCCGACATCACCCTATCTATCAGTCTATCCGTCCTTCTATTCATCTCTCTGTCTCTGTTCGGCCATCGTACGATTTCCATTCTATTCGTCTCAAGAGAGACATCACGGCAATGCTTCACTTTACTGATCAAACTAACATCTTGGGACAACCAAATTGATTTGTCCAAGACTTAAAAGAAAGAAGAAAAAAGGAAGGTTTTGTCATATAAGATTGAAAAAATTGCTTTCTACCGATTGCTTTGCTAAAACAAGGTCGCACTCCTAGTCTCTGCAAGAATTCGGAACATTTTGCCGTTTTCAAATTCAGGTGGTTGGGTAAGATCTCATACTAGACATTTAACTTCTCGACTTATACAATTCAAACCTTTTTCACGAATGGCATATATAACGTGCGCAAGCACACACACACACACACACACACACACACATGCACACACACACGTAGATACATACATACAGAAAAACAGAATTTTTTAAACTATTACCTTCAAATCTTACTCCATCTTGATTTTTTACCTAAACTTTAATTACGAAATATTACCCATCTAAAAATAGATACAAATTAAATTCATGAATTAGACTCAAACTGATAAAGATTTTACCTTAACAGTCATTCACAATATTAAAATATTACTATTAGTAATCTTTTATTTTTATTATTGTTGTTTATTAATATAGCATTCAACTTATATTAAATCCCTAATTTATTTGTAGAGAAGTTGAATATTTAAATTGCTAACAAGCATTAAATTAATTTCTTTGTGGAGTTTTTAGACATTTAAATTACTATCAAACGTTAAAATCTGTTTTTATCTAAATTGCTAAAGCTATACCACCCCTCTTCTTCCTCCAAAAACCCTAAATACATCTCTTTTCTCTTTACTTCCCCCTTTTTCCTTTTTTTTCTCCTTTTCCCTTTCCCATATCATTTTCGTTGAGTTGATCGATTAAATAGGTCAATGACTGATCACCCCCTCAATATTAAATATTATAATAAAAAGAAATATATAAATTTTACAACTCTCCCTTCACTCTCTAAACTCGACCATGCTTCTCACACCACTTCTCTTTACCTTCTATGTCAACTTGTATAAGCTTAATACTGCCCGTCAAAAGTGTAAATTTTAATTTCATTTTTTGAAAGTGATGTCTGAAGATCCAGGGTAAAAAAGTCCTTGGTGAAATAAATTATTACAATGGAGCCTTAAAGTGGTCTGTTTTTCTTTAAATTAAATTATTCGCTCTGAATTAACATTGAACTCTCAGGATTTTATCCTATTTGGGATTATCCATACGGATTACCAAGATTTTCCTTACTTAAATATATATATATATATATATATATATATATATATATATATATATATATATATATATATATATATATATATATATATATATATATATGAATTGCACATAAAGTGCTGCTGTTATACAGTACTCGATGTTATATAACAGAGCTATAAAATATATACATTAATAAATATACATATGATATCACATCGTTCGCTTTTAGCTCGGAGTTTTCATACCAAACGCAATCTTCAGGTCCTGAGCATGTAGACACTCAACACCTCAAAGTTTGGCATGAAATACATATATACATACACACACACACACACACACACACACACACACATATATATATATATATATATATATATATATATATATATATATATATATATATAAAATAATTTTGTTCACCTATGAACCAATTCTGAGTTTCGGGAAAACTAAATCCATTCTTCAGGGGACTTAAATGTAATTCCGTGAAATTCAGAGTAGTCATTTATGAGGTAATGGAACAAAATCATTTTATTTCGTATTATTAATGCTCAGCCTCTTCGTATCGAGCACTTTGCTCACAAAGATTACTTTGCTCGATTGTTTTTTTTTGCGTGAAATATATATTTTTGGTACTGTTTGTTGTTTATTCTTCACAAGTTGAAAGGTTATTGTATTTCCAGCCGAATTTTAAAACTGATTCAAACTTTTTTACGTAATCGCAAAATGGAAGTTGTCCTGAACGGCCACTCTTCCAGATCGTTTTGAACATATGCAAATGTCCCCCAGGGCTCTATCCTTGAACCTACTTGTTTTTTTTAATTTTCATCCAGACACAACCATTTACTCCAGTCTCGATAGTAAGTTTGATTAGTCAGATAAGGTCAAATTGGCAGCTGATCTAGAAAAATGACCTACAATCCTTTGTTAACTGGGCCAAAGAATGTTATGACAATTTTAATGCCTCTAAAATGGACATTTTCAATATTGAAAGACACCTTTCTACCTGAAAGACTCCTTCCTTCCATGCTAACCTCCATTAGTGTGTCTCGGGCTTTCTACGGCAAACATTTTGGTTTGATATGAAGTGGAAAGATTATTGCTAGGTCTGCTGCTAAGAAATGTTGTTCACTGTGTCATGCTAGACACTTTATATCGCCAGAATTTACCTTACATATCTAGAGGTCTATCATTCGTTCATACTTTGAATATTGCTACTACATATGGGCCGGTGCTCCTGTTGTATATTTACAGATTCTTGATAAAATCCAAAGAAGAATCAGCAATATTCCTGGTCCTGAACTGGCATCTTGGCTTCAGTCACTCTCCCACCGCCGTAATGTATCTTCTCTGGGGCTTTTCTATGAATATTTTCATGGTAACAGATGAACTCTTTTCTATGGTCATCTACACTTTATGAATTTAAGCGCAGTACTAGATTGTCAACAAGGTCTTATGAATTCACTGTTGAGTCGGCTAGATCTAACCGTAAGTTCTTTGATAACAGTTTTATTTTCTCGCTAGTGAAACTCTCTTCAGGTTCCATGCTTTCCAGCCAACTTCGATCATTAAAAATGTAAATGCAATGTCAATCGTTATCTCTTTTTCTAATTCGTTCCCACACAGTAACAACTTGTATCTTAGGGGCTTTACTGCCTTGCACAGAATGTAATTATAGATACACACACACACACACACACACACACACACACACACACACACACACACACACACACACACACACACATATATATATATATATATATATTATAAAATACAGTTTTAATTTATGGTATATTTATAAGGGAAAATGCTCAATATCCGGCTGAAGTGACAGAGTGATTCATCAGATTTTCATCACGCCCAGACACTGCTGTCTCGACTGTCAATTAGTTGTCCTACGGACATTGTCTGAGATTGACGTTACTCCAAGGAAGCGTACGAAAGTTGTAACGCTGCACGAACATTAGGGCAAGTCTTACCAGTGACCAAATGGCCCGGAATCTCTCCCAATTTAAATCCAATCAAGAATCTGTGGTCAATCTGCAAGGAACAAATTCGTGGAATGGACATACGAAGTCCTAACATCTGCAGTGCGAAAAATACACAAAAAGTAAATAATAACGGATTTATTCGTTTTGTTTCAAATAATTTGCACAAGTGTGTATAAATAATTGTTAAGTAGTGTATGAAATTAAAATAAGTGCATGTTTATATCACATGTTATCGTTTATTTAATGTTTCATTTTTATTTTATTTAATAGTTAGTATTTTATTTATTTATTTTAGCCTTGGTTTTTATTATTGAGGTATTAATTATGGTGGGTTAGGTTTGTTCATTTTTTAATGTTTGTCAGTGTTTATGTCTACATATACATGTTTACACATGAGTATAGGTGCGTACTTGCTTATTAATAAATTAAGTTTATACTATATTTATTTTTTTTATTCATTTATTTAATAGTATTAATATTTTATTAAGTTTAAATTTATTTCATTTTATTTATATTTGTTTGTTTATTTTTAGTGCTTAGATGGCAAAGTAAATATTTATTTATATACTTACATTTGGACATTATTTCAGAATATTTGGTTTTTAGACCTAATTACTGTTAATTTTTCTTCTAAGCATACTCTTCAATTTTTGCTCTTAATACTGTATGGAGCTGCTCGTTTTATAATTTACCATTTGATTTTGGTGGGATTATAGTTCTTTTTTGGTTCCATATGTATTTTGATAGGCTTGTATTGTTTGTGTTTTTTTTCTTTCGAATGACATTTTGTGGTCATAATATTTTCCTTTAATTTTTTTGTAGTTCTTATGTAAATTTTTTGATCAATGTTAATGTTATTATTTACGATGGTTTTTTTTATCATATTATTGGTTAAGCATTTATTGTTAAGTTGGCAATTTTCTTTGTTTCTGCAGTTACATTTAATGGTGTTATTTTGCTTTATGCTATCATTATTGTTGTAATTATCATTGGTTTTGTTGAGTATTTTTTTATTGTGTTTAGTTATTGTTTTCTCCCAGTTATCCATGCAGCTGTAACTAATTTTGATTGTGTTTTTGTTGAAAATTTTGGATAATTTGCTGTTTTTTTGTTTTATATATATATATATATATATATATATATAACAAAAAATATAGGAAACGTTTATCAATAATTCACTTTTAATAAAACTTTATTAGATAATATATATATATATATATATATATGTGTGTGTGTGTGTGTATGGTGTGCAATATTATTGTGTAATACTGCATGTATGGAAGATTTTCGCATTATAGGCTGTATATATATATATATATATATATATATATATATATATATATATATATATATATATGGAGACCGTGCGATTTTAATGGTCACGTAGGTGCAAAGACGGGAATTTCCTATGTTTTATCATCATTACTTTTATGTCGGTTCACAATATTCTTTTCTCTTTCAAGCGGAGAAAGTGTATGTGTGTGTGTGAGTGTTTGTCTGTGCCTATGTGTGTGTGTTTGAGAGAGAGAGAGAGAGAGAGAGAGCGGGGGGAGACGAGCGATGTGCTTTTGTGTCGTTTTCTTAGATTGAAACAACAAAATCCAGATTTGATCGGAAAAGGAAATAAACATTTGAAAAAATAGCAGATAAGAAAAGAAGGACGGAAAACGAAAGCAAAGCAAAGCAAACAAACAAACAAACACGGGTTTAAATAAAAAGGCACGTGCCTACATGTCTCTTCATCGCAAGTAAATATTTCTGACCATTTGGAAGAAGCCAAGTGGTCCAATGGCGTTCGGTTTTAAAGCATAACTGTAAATCTGAAACAAGCGGGAAGCGGGGTGTTGTGTCATTGGAATAATGGCGGAGACATTAAA